TTGGTAGGGGGGGGGGGGGCGCCTACTACTACTACTACTACTACTACTACTACTACTACCACTACTACTACTACTACTACTACTACTACTACTACTACTACTTGTTGTGCTACTTTAAAACTTATTTTGCGTGTTATATTATTACTCTTGTTACTTCAAGATATCATGAGTACCGCGCAAACACCCTAAACTCTAAACCCCAAGCAGACCTCGCCGTGCAGGATGTCATCCTTCGTGAATTCCTGGGCATTGCATCTCCTGCGCTAGCGGAGCTGTCAGAAGCTCCCCTGTAACCGGGTCGGAGTTGGAAGGCGACGTTTGGTAGGACGTCGCTTCCTGTTTCGGAGTTTCAATTACGTAGTTTAGCCTTTCATTGTCCGTCCTTGCTAATTATGGAACTCGAAATAAATAAGGTGCCCCTAAAACACATCAGCCCTAAACTCTTACACCCTTCAGGCTCTAGGCCACCCAAAACCCTAGACCTCGTGCTCTGAGGGAGCTAGAGAACTCGGAGCCCAGCCGTGGCCGCTCTTGCTCGAGTTTGGAGCTTTGGCCAGCAGACAATGAGAGAGTTCGGGGGTCCAGGAGTTATGGTTCTAAGGAGTTCAGGATAAAGTTTGTGCAATCTTAGGGTTCTCGTCATACACCTCTGGGCCTCGGTACGATTTAGCGGAAACCGGGTGAAGAGTTCAGGTTGTGGGCAGGATTTGTCCGGCGCTGTGCCAAGGACAAGTTTTCGGCTCGCCCAAACAAGCAGCGCCACTCGTGCACAGGCTTCCGGGTGCCAGGGCTCATACAAGCTGCCAGACATGTGCCAGAGAGACAGATAGGGACGTCTTGCGGCCCAGTCACTGCAGGAGGCTTCCGAGCTGAGGAAATGTCCATATGCAGCTCAGCTGAACCAGGGGCCTGTCTGTGCCGCAGATTGCTTTGAGTATTGCTGGAGCGTGTCAGGCTTTGAGTATTGCTGGAGCGTGTCAGGCCGCGTGAAGCGCTGCCTGTCCTCCCCACTTCCGGCCGACGATCAGCTGGAGGACTTCTTGAGCCTGGCAGCCTCTTCTTGCAAAAGTGTCTACACCGATGCTTCTGAGACAGTTCTGCATCACAAAGTTGCAGAGCAGCAGAACTGGCATGTAGCTGCTGTCATCAACACATGTATTGTGTGGGTTGGTGGGGGTGGTGCTTGTGGGAGGAAGCCTCCCACTTGCTGGCCAACAGCCGATTCAACGAAGCTGCAGCAGCCAAGCTTACAGACTGTCACGGTGACACAGATTCCGCACAATTCAACCATGGAGTGCTGCTGCTGTTTGGTTATAGAAGCGGGTGTAGAAGCAGGTTTACTGCGTCGTACTATAACAGCACATGCGCCCTCTTCAAAAGACATGAAGGGGAGAGTTACGCATGTATTTTGTGTTTGTTGGCACATCCGAGGTGGTTATTGCCAGGGACGTGTCCCGCGTCTTCCCATCAAACAGCCGAGTCCATGATGTCCGCATCGAGATTGCGGAGATCCTGAGAGCCTATGCACGAGAGGACCGACATAATATTAAGATATTACTCTACTTGAACATACAGTATAATATCAGTATAAGAGAGTATAGGATATTATACCGTAATGTGATACAATGTAGAGTGCTATACTGCTATATTTCACTTTAGTAATTTACTGTTATAGCACGGTGCAGTACTTTCTGGACCCGGGCTTTAGCGCACCTTACCCTTCTGGTACGTAAGGTTTTTTGAAGGTTCTCAGTCGGCGCACCGAATTTAATTTTTCAGGCCCTACGCGAAGCAAGTAGGTTATGGTCACGCCGGTTTTTGAACACCCCCTCCATAGTGTCATGCATTATCACATGTATTGTAAGTTTCAACACATGGAGCAGTGGGCTTTTGCCGGCAGTTTGCCATTGGTTTGAGCAGGACCCTGATCTCGGATACACGCAGGGCATGTGCTTTGCGGCTGCTGTGGTGGCCGTGGGTGATGGAGATCTCGAGGGCAAGCAACAGCGCTTCAGTCAGCTGATGGCGAAGCTTCGCCTCCTGGCGTAGGTTTCTTTTGAAGGGTCTTAGAGCTGGCTTTCTGGAAAGGTCTGCTGAAGATGCGGGCCTTTGGAAATATAAGCCTTCTGTTCTGACTTGAGGTGACTTGTGGATGCCAGGATTCCCGTTGGTTGAGCAAGGCATCCCTATTGTGGAATCCATGCTGGCAAGCAAAGACCCAGAGCTCATGCATCACTTGTACCAGACAATTAAGATGGCGAGGGACCAAGTCGCGGGCTTCCTGAAGAGGCGTTTTCGATTCACTTGCGTGCTGCTTTGTCACTGGTGCTTAAAGGAGCTGTGACCGGTGCTTGCACTCCTCAACCTGTCTGTCCAATCCCTGCTGAGTTTCTTTGTCTTCGTGTGTGCGTTCACACCCGCGTGAATGTGTGCGCCCGCGCCTGCATGCATGGGGGCGGGTGAGTGGGTAGGAGAGGCAGGGTTCCACTGCCAGTCATGTTAGTCAGTTCGTTCCTTAAACGTGTCAACAAAATCATTTTTGTGCCGATCTGCTGTGGGGTTTGGAAGATGGTAAAGCAAGAAGGAGAGGATTAACGAGCACAAGAAACACACACACACACACACACCGTCATATCAATGTATGGTCACTCGTGCAGTGCCCGTCACACACATTTTGACTTGACTTGTTACCCCTGCAGCGTGCTTGTGCAGAGTCGAGTTCCTCAAAAAGCTTTCTTTTTCGCAGTCCTGTCACACGCCCCGGGCGCAGTGTGGATTCGAAAGACTCCACGCTACAAATATGGTTATGCCCAGACTTTCCACATGCATATATATATATATAGATAGATAGATATATCTATATCTATATCTATAGCTTTATATATATAGTATATATATATATATATATATATTGACAACGCCGAGGACCTGGGCATGGTGATTCCAAGTGCATGGCTGTCGGTGTTTGGCAAGTGGCTCCCTCTCGACGTTTTGCAAGACCTCGTGCCTTTCCTTCAGAAGGACGTTAGGGCTCAGGGTGCTTTGCAGAAGTGCTTTCCATGAGCGGCATCACGCGCGTGACCGCGCAGGAAGGACTGGCAGGATTTGCGTGCATCTCAGCTGCTGTCCTGCTGTGCTCATACAGTCTCCCCGAAGAGCGTGGCAGCTGAATCGAGGTCATTGTGACCTTCCTCATGCTTCTGGCACACCGGTCTAAGCTGTTGGACACTTGTCCTGTACGATCCTCCATGCAAAGTCCATCACGTTTTGTAGCCGCTGCTGCAGATGCTGTACGCTCAGTTAATCAACGTCGTCAAAGCTGAGGTTGCACGAAGTTTGGACGAGATCCTTCCCTTTATCAACAGTTTTTCAAAGGAAGCCGTGCCGGATCAACTTCTGAGTGTTTGCCAGGTTTCCGTTACACAGCTGCGAAGCAGAAGTGACAGCGACGGCATATCATGGGTGTCAGTCGTAGGCTGATGCCGAGAGACAGGCGCCGTCAAGTCTCGCGGAGGCACCTTGCAAAGGACTCTGATGCATGGCTCCTTGCAGAGGCACCCAGACCGCAAATCTCAAGGCTTTGCCGGCGGGCCACTGTTTTCGTCCAAAAATTCATACATAGGTCGCATCTGTACAGCAAAACCCAGAGACTCTCATGTTCCTTTGCTTACGTACAAGCACAAGCAGGTGTAGGGATCCCGTTAAAAAGTAGCGAGGCATATTTGGAGTCTCCGGGAGGGGTTTACATGGTTCCGTCGTTTTACCGACCTTCCTAAGGGAGACCTGCACAGTGGTGGCGGCGACCGTAGAAAGCGACACTTTTTCGTGTACGCATAGTGTTTACGTTGTTCCATGGTGCAGTGCGCAGTCGTTTGTCTTGCAAAGCCTTCGTGCGGTATTGCATTTATTGGCCTGTACAGTAAATCATTTTAGCACAGAGCAGCACTGTAGAGTATAGTTGAATGTAGTACAGCGTAGTAAAGCACAGCATAGGACGGTGCAGTCTAGTCCAGTATAGTATCGCATCGCATAGCACTGCGCAATGTCAGTTAGTATCTGAACGTACACCATACTATCATGTCGTAACGTTTCTTTGTCGCATCGTATCATTTCTTGGGAAACACAGCATCACGCAAGCTGAAGATGAATTAACATCAGCATGTGTGCTTCTCATTGCATTGCGAGTACATAAGGTTTCGGCATGCTCTCGGGCTATCTTGCTTGTAGTTTCGGTGCATGGGCACGATGGCACTGTGCCGTTCTCTCAAAGGTCCTTTGTGAAGACCTGGACCACGATCTTTCGATGACCGCATGGCACAGACCTTAAAGAACGAGAGAGAGAGAGAGAGAGAGAGACAGACAGAGAGAGAGAGAGAGAGACATCTGGAATTGCGGACTCCCCGGCTTGCTGCTTGCTAGATCAACACTTTGCCTGCGGAACGTGATGATGTTGAGACGACGACGGAGGCGAAGGCAGGGTTGGGACCCGTTTCAGGGAGAGCTCGTTGCGGTGGCTGTGGAGTCCGGGGTAGCTTGTGATCGCTTCGCCCTGCCATTAAGGCATGATCCAGCCACAACCATGATCTACTTAACAGGAATTTTCGGTACACTGTCAGTTCCCGACTGTCGGTTCATCTCATGCCGTGACAGCTGGTATGAAAGCCGAGTTCGGCACGAAGTGAACTTGATTTAACGGTTTGTTTTCCGGTCCTCTAGTCCTGCAGCCGGTGCACCGCTGGTTCTTGTTCACGTTATATCGTTGTGGTTGATGGTTGAAGTGGCTGCTTTGTAGTCGTGTCTATCCAGGCTTGAGTGCCGCAGTGACGGTTCTTTCTTTAGGGGAGGATTTGAGATAGTTCAGGGATGCCCGTCCCGTAATGGTTGCTTGGGGTCAAGAGTCCGCTCAGCTGCTTTTGGCTCCCAGCCTTGTGTCTCCCGTCACTCTTCTCCGTGCAGCAGATTCGCAGCCATGGGCCCCATGAAGGCAATGAAGGCCTGGATATGCTTTGTAAGTGCGGTCGCACAGCGAGCCTGTCGCGAGGATTCCCGCATGCGTGTTCATGTCGTGTCCGTGTGTCCACGTGTGTGTGGGTGGTTCGTGCGTGCGTGTGCGTGCGCGTGCGTGCGGGTGCGTGCGCGTGGGTGCGCGTGCGTGCGTGTGCGTGTGCGTGTGCGTGTGCGTGCGTGTGCGTGCGTGTGCGTGCGTGTGCGTGCATGTGTGTGCGCGTGTGCGTGCGGGCATGCGTGCGTGTCTCTTGTTCTGACATCGCAGCTGGCCAGGCGATGAAGGCCATGAAGGCGATGAAGGCCGCCCGCGCAGCTCCGAAGGGCGAGATTGCCAACCAGCTGGCGGCGAGCACGGGCTTGAAGAAGAGCGAGGTGATGTCCGTGCTGGATAGCCTGGCCGACATCGGCACAAAGGAGTTG